TTTACAAAACCAGGTATATTTTTAAATAAATTAAATATGTATGCTGTAGGATTTGTTCTATAGAGGGTTATTATTGAAAAACTGGGTTCTTGTCGAATTGGCCTTGGGAAATCAGTTTATAAAATGTGGCCAACGATTTAGAATGTGACATAATTAAAAAAAAAATTCGCTTGCAGTGGAACATAATAAATGTTTTTTTTTAGTATCTAAGGGTAAATACAGCTCTATTATGGTTGTATTACCATATTAAAAAAAACTATTAGAATTTTTTTGTCGGGCTTTAAAAGTGTCGGTAGAAGAAACAATAAGCTCAATAGAGCAAATTTTTACTAACGTTTTAAGGGGGTCATCCATAAATGACGTCACGCTTTTTGGACAATTTTTACTCCCCCCCCCCTCTCCTCTTTTACACGTCGTCACAAAAAGCCAGACCCCCCCCCCCCTAAAAATGACGTCACAACTCAGCCTACACCCCCCTCCCTCAAAATTGCAGTTGAATTTTTCTTAAAATACGATATTTTTCCAAAATCTTGTCAGAACTCTGTCAACATAGAGTATTTTAATCAATTCTTATTACAATTTATTTAAAACAGTTATCTAAAACGCAAAATAACGGCTAAAACTCGTTTCCTAACATTGCTTTTTTATAATGCAAAAAACGGACTTCACACCATCTGAATCCCCCCTCCCCCTCATCACACACCGTCACAAAAATACGAACCCCCCCCTCCCCCCTACGAGTGTGACGTCATTTATGGACGACCCCTAACGCAAAAACACGCAATAAATAGAGCCTACTATAATTATATAATTCAAATGTGACACACTTCTGCGTACATTATTTATTTTGAGTTAATTATGTAAATTAATTTAACGAAGGTAGAAATAGCTCCTAGAAATGGTCTACCCAAAGATATTGGTAGTCCACGATAATGTATCAGTGTGCGAATTAAAGGAAAATTAAATAGGTAACATTCAATACATAAAATTAAATAACGAGCGCATATGTTAATTACAATCAATATACCATGTGTACAATTGGTATGTAAAAATATTAGCAAAGTGGCGTGGTATTAATTTGCATTTATAAAGAACAATATAATAGGTGTGTGTGTGGGGGGGGGGGGGGGGGGGCTGAAGGTGAGATAAATAATAATTTGGCGTTAGTGTGGGGAAGTTTCGCTTTGTATGACATTAGTCAGTGGCGTAGCCAGGATCGTCTCAAGGGGGGGGTTCCAATTTTTACCCGGGGACAAACTTTCGATTTGCACCCCCCCCCCTCAAACTTTTGATTTGCACCCCCCCCCCCCCCTCAAACTTTCGATTTGCACCCCCCCTCAAACTTTCGATTTGCACCCCCCCTCATACTTTTTATATATACCGAGGGGTCTATGGGGGGGGTTATGACCCCCCCTAACCCCCCCCTGCCTACGCCACTGACATTAGTTGGCAGGTGGGGAGTAGGAGGGGTGAAGAGTTTTGCGTCTAAATTATTTTTACTTTTAATTGTCCCTTAAGTTATTTTTTTTTTACTTTTACTTTTAAATATAAACAAGTACATCAGCTTATATATGTGTGTGTTAGTCTGGTACATTTCTCAAATATTTACACAATTTTTATAACAAGAATAAAATAGTAAACAATGATTTGTCGATGAAAGCATTCAAACGAAGGTAATAATAATAATAAAAAAAAACAGGAAATACAAGCATGAAAAAAAAAATCAACCATTAAACCAATTTAAATAATTACAAATAAGTTGATTTATGACTACTTAAAAAAAAACAACGTTCGACGTGAATCGGATAGTGGGGGTCTAGGGGTGGGGGTCGTGGTGACAAAGGAGATGCGGTTATGGGGGCAATATGAGATGGGGGTCATGGGGTTTGGAGGCGGGGAAGGTGTGATGAAGGGGGGGGGGGTGTTGGTTAGGATGGGGCGGGCCAGGCGACCAAAGCAGTGTCACGTGATCTTTACAATGTGGTGTTGGTGTTTATGGTGTGTGTGTGTGTTTAAATGCTGTCGTTGTCGAGTCGTCTGCTTTAAATCTAGTCTAGTGTTTGATCGGTGAACTGTACCTTGTCGTGTTCCAAATTTAATAGTCCGTTTATTATAGTCCTTTACAAGTAAAGGAGTCAAAAACTTCTGATTTTTATGTATTTTATAATATCTATACAACTGTGTGTAATCTTTAGCGTTAAAAATCTTCTTGAAACAAAGCTAATCCGTTTTATTTTATTTTAACTAGCCTTTATTTATATACCAATGACCGATTTCTGAAAAATATACCTTCATTTAAAAAAGTACATTTAATTATTTACTTGTTTATGTAATATTTATTTTAAAAATTGTGTTATACTTCGTAAACTATGCATGACATATTGTTTTTATTGATTATGTATTTCAATATCGGTAGCCTCCCTTGGTTATAGTAGCATTCATTTTCTTTTAGATAATAGTTTCACTATGTCGTAATGATAATAATAATGAGTCGTACAATACATGATAGAAATAATTTTTTTTTAAAAAAAGGAAAAATTTTAAACTAACCAATCCCCTGTAACTTAATTTTTTTTTACAATTTATAATTATTTTTTTTATTTTGCCTCAGATATGTAATTTACAGCGTCAGTTTGCCTTGCCATGTTCGCTTTAGTATTTAGTTTTACAGTTTTCATCATCGGCTTGTGAGGATTGATACAGATTTACAATAGTAATACTCGTTTCTGACTTGTACTTTCATTCATTAAAGATGGTTTACTTATACCTAATTCAAACATCTAATTATAATTTTATTTTTAAACCTGGAATCTTAAATGTTTAATTAAGTTGTGCCTCTATGTTCTGTGGAGAGGAAAAGAAATTAATTAATTTTTTTTATAAAAACCGTTTTAATAACAAGCCATTATGTAATAATGCATTAAAAACTAGAAAATAAATTATACACTACTATTTAAATTACTATTGTTATTAAAACGTTTTTTATGAAATTTTTTTTAGTACTTTACATGTTTTTATTTACAATAGAGTAACATGACTAAAAACCATTGCGCAGCTATTGAACGTGATGACGCGCTTTTGCCGTAATGACGCGTGCGGATAGAACTGCCTACTAATTTGGTCAAAATTTTATTTAATTAAAAAAAAATTAATCAAGCGACCGATTAAGTCAAATTTATTTGAGGTCACAATGCATTATCTTCATGCCTTAACCCACGTACCAATTTCGCTCCGCCGTTTCGATCTAGACAGACTGACGACAGACAGAGGAAGTGAGTTAAATATAAAAATAAACTTGTAAAAAAAAGAAAGGCAATTTTGTTTCGGTGGGGTGGGTGAAGGGCGAATGTGCTAATAACTAGAACTGAAATAAATTTGACTTTAAAGGAAAATAATATTATAATATTATAAGCAGCACGGTTAATACGTAAAGAACAATAAGACACATCAAATCAAACATTCTGCCTTTTCAAACAGGCATATCCATAACAGTTCTCGTTTCTTTTTGTTTAATTCAGTGTTAAAAGTTGAGATGAGCTGCGTTTTTAAGTGACAATAAAAATTCAAACGTTCGTAAATCTATAAATTAAGTGTTAAATATTGTTGATAGCTTTTTTTTTTACTAGAGTCAAATAATAAAATAAAAATATAAAATATAACATTAGAAAAACAATTACACAAATGTTTTTATATTCACGCTTTGCTATATAATAAACAATTAATTCCGTAAACAATAAATGCTGAATTTCTCTATATTTAACTAATTTCGAGAATAAAGTTATAAGTTAAAATCCTTAGTTTTTTTGTTTATATTTTATTTATATAAATGGGAAGTATCTAACTCTTTTTTATATTCGATTGTTTTTACAATACCTGGTATATTTTTTTATTTACCAAATATATATGCTTCAGCATTAGTACCTATGGAAAGTTGTTGACTAAATAAAATTGATGGCTATACTATGATACCCGTTCCTCTGCATAAGGGGGACAATTCAGTATAATTGACAGGTTTGTATTACACATTTGTTTCCCTTATAGACCCATACCAACCGTGTTTTGTAGATCGCCGTTGCACATTATTTGAAATGTATGAAATTATAACGACATGGTGGTTTAACAGGTAGGATGACATCTGGTGTGGCAACTCATGGTGTCAATACACCACAGAGGGTGTAGGCCTACTCCAGATGGTGTCACACTCCATGAGATGGTGTTATCCTCTTTAAGATGGTCTCCCTCCCTCCAAGTGGTGATATTTTCCGGAGGGGGGGGGGGGGGTTGAGGGTGGGGCAGACACTGATAAATGTATGTTTTCTATATAAATCCGTTTCGTTTGGGGGGAGGGGGTTGAGATGCTTGGAGGAAACTCTGGTGTTGTCCCCCCCCCCCCCCTAGTTCTTACAAACGCAGTCCTTTCAACACCAACCCACACGAGTTATCCATTCTGATTAGCCGATTATATATTGTACCAGCGTACCCGTCACCGCGCGTTGCCGCGGGGTTAGAAGAAAGTCCGATGATAACCCGGGGCAAATCGCACCCTGCCAGTGCGCGGGCAGACGCGCGGATTCGGTTTAGTGAATGTCTATAAACTACTTCTTGTCCATATTGTATCACACTCTTTAAAACGAACGTATGCGCCACAGCTCAAGGGATATCCCTGTGCTACAAATCGCACCCAACACAACACACTGCACATAACACATAGCACACAACACAAAACATACAGGACACAACACGCAACACACAGACACACGCACAGACACCACACAACACAACACACTGCACATAGCACATAGCACACAACACACAACATACAGGACAAAACACGCAACACCCAACATACAGACACACGCACAGACACACCCACGCAATACACAGACACACACGCAACACACAGACACAAATACGCAACACACAGACACACACACGCAACACACAGACACACACACGCGCCCACAAAAATCAAAATTAATTTTTTCCCCCAAACTCCACAGGTGGATGGCGGACCACTTTGACGAGTGTAGCGTGGAGTGTGGGCTGGGTGAGCAGATGCAGATCTACGTGTGCACGGAGACGGGGCTGGAGGGTAGCTCGAGTGTCGTGGAGGACGAGATGTGCACCAAGCACATCGGGGAGAAACCCGTCTTCAAACGGGCTTGTGTGGGGGAGGAGGAAGATTGTCCCAATAATATGACGGAGGACACGGCCTTGGTAAGTAATAGGAGTGGGTGGGGGGTGTGGGTGTGTGTGGTGTGGGGTGTGGATGTGGGGGAGGAGGATGATTGTCCCAATAATATGACGGATGACACGGCCATATACACGCAGTAACCCACGCAGACAGACACAGACAGAGACATGGACATGGACATGGACATGGGCATGGGCATGGGCATAGGCATAGGCATAGGCATAGACACAGACACAGACACAGACACAGACACAGACATAGACACAGACACAGACACAGACACCCAACCCAGTCACGAGCATTGTCCTGCTCCACAGATCTCTATGGACTGTAAAATCTCATCATTTGGTTGCTGTCCTGATCAAGTCACACACGCCAAGGGAGATAACTTTTATGGATGTCCTGCGGATACATTTTCTAACATAAGTAAGTAGCTCCTATCTAATTAAGGTAATTAAGTTTCTAATTTAAGTTAAATAAAACAACAACATACCATAATTTGATATATTTATTCAGAAACTTGAGGAAATTTTTTTTATCATTTAGTATTTTGTTTAGTATTAGATTCAAACCGTAAAAGGGTATGGGCGTGGTTGAGTCGTTATAGCTCACTGTAGCATAACCGGAAAGCCTCAAGTTCGAACCCGCGGGCAGATGAGGCTCGATAGCTGGGGACATGCAGCTCTTTTAGGAGAGACAATTCCAAAAGACTATGGAAGTAAATCCAAAAAAAGAAAAGCCGGCTGAAAGCTGAGTCAACGATATATGGCGCGTAACAAGTTGACACAAAATACTTAATTGAATTTTAAAAAAACCGAGGAAGAAGAAGAAACTTTAATATCTATACAGTTTTGATTAGATAAAAGCATTTAAAAACATAACTACTGAAACTAATCAAATTGTTATTTGACTAAGTTAAATTAAAATTGGTGACCATGTCAATGAGTTATCATAAAAGTAACGGGAGGTAATTGGTAATAAAAAAAAATAAATGCAATCATTTTAAAATGTTTGGTTAGCTACCTTTAATGTAAATCTAGAGTTCGTTTAACAATGACGTTGATCAACCAAGTAGCTCCCAAACTATTAAATTTCAGTTCGTTTTAAGGAATATGTTTATAGGTAGTATCCCTTGCATATTTAATATTATAAAAGGGAAGTAGCATTTTTAAATTTAAAATCAGGCGTAAAAAAAATTGTATTTTAAACATTGCATTGTGATTACAACTTATTTAACTGTGTCACTGAAGAATTCGTGTTAATAATCCCTCCCCATATTGCTCACTATGACAGTGTTGAAAATGAGTCAGTATGTTTTTTTTGCAATCCGTTTATATGCAGTCTGTATTACAACCCAGTGCTATTTTAAAAATAAGGGACAGCGTGGCCTAGCGGTAGAGCGCTAGACTGCTAATCAGAAAGTCACGAGTTCGAAACTACTTCATCTGCACGATGTTTCTTGGGCACGAACGGGAAAAAGAACGGGTTACCAGTCGAACGCTCTACCATTCGACGACATCGCCCCTGATTGCTTCGATAAACAAACAAACAAAACAAACAAACAAACGAACAACAACGAAATGTTGTAGGGTGTGTGAGATTGTAAATGTGAGGGTGTGTGTGTGGTTACACACTACATGCTCGTGTTTATGTGCGGGCCGGGGAAGAAACACCAGCCGCAACATATTGGCTGATGTGGTGTGGGTGTAAGTTCTCGGGATGTTCCGGAGTCGTCAGACATCCACCCATACAGCCAGGATTCCGGTACTTGCTGCTTGGGTATCACAGGAATCCTGAACTACTTTCATGCAGGAAGGTGAAGCTGATATTCCTGTATAGGTTGGGGTTGGTGGGTGGGTGGGTGGGTGGGGGTTTTGGTGGTTGGGTGGGGTAGCGGAGTGTGCTGGTTGGTAAAGTGTACGGGTAACCGTGCGGGTAAGCGTGCGAGTAAGTGTGCGGGTAAGTGTGCGGGTAAGTGTGCGGGTTGGTAAAGTGTGCTGGGTGGTAAAGTGTGCGGTTTGTAAAGTGTGCGGGTTGGTAAAGTGTGCGGGTTGGTAAAGTGTGCGGGTTGGTAAAGTGTGCGGGTTGGTAAAGTGTGCGGGTTGGTAAAGTGTGCGGGTTGGTAAAGCGTGCGGGTTGGTAAGGTGTGCGGGTTGGTAAAGTGTGCGGGTTGGTCAAGTGTGTGGGTTGGGAAAGTGTGCGGGTTGGTAAAGTGTGCGGGTTGGTAAAGTGTGCGGGTTGGTAAAGCGTGCGGGTTGGTAAAGTGTGCGGGTTGGTAAAGTGTGCTAGGTGGTAAAGTGTGCGGTTTGTAAAGTGTGCGGGTTTGTAAAGTGTGCGGGTTTGTAAAGTGTGCGGGTTGGTAAAGTGTGCGGGTTGGTAAAGTGTGCGGGTTGGTAAAGCGTGCGGGTTGGTAAAGTGTGCGGGTTGGTAAAGTGTGCGGGTTGGTAAAGCGTGCGGGTTGGTAAAGTGTGCGGGTTGGTAAACTGTTCGGGTTGGTAAAGTGTGCGGGTTGGTAAACTGTGCGGGTTGGTAAAGTGTGCGGGTTGGGAAAGTGTGCGGGTTGGTGAAGTGTGCGGGTTGGTGAAGTGTGCTGGTTGGTAAAGTGTGCTGGTTGGTAAAGTGTGCTGGTTGGTAAAGTGTGCGGGTAAGTGTGCGGGTAAGTGTGCGGGTTGGTAAAGTGTGCTGGTTGGTAAAGTGTGCTGGTTGGTAAAGTGTGCTGGTTGGTAAAGTGTGCGGGTTGGTAAAGTGTGCTGGTTGGTAAAGTGTGCTGGTTGGTAAAGTGTGCGGGTTGGTAAACTGTGCGGGTTGGTAAAGTGTGCTGGTTGGTAAAGTGTGCTGGTTGGTAAAGTGTGCGGGTTGGTAAAGTGTGCGGGTTGGTAAAGTGTGCTGGTTGGGAAAGTGTGCGGGTTGGTAAAGTGTGCGGGTAAGTGTGCGGGTTGGTAAAGTGTGCTGGTTGGTAAAGTGTGCGGGTTGGTAAAGTGTGCGGGTTGGTAAAGTGTGCTGGTTGGGAAAGTGTGCGGGTTGGGAAAGTGTGCGGGTTGGTAAACTGTGCGGGTTGGTAACGTGTGCGGGTTGGTAAAGTGTGCGGGTTGGTAAAGTGAGCGGGTTGGTAAAGTGTGCGGGTTGGTAAAGTGTGCGGGTTGGTAAAGTGTGCAGGTTGATAAATTGTGAGGACACGGGTATATGTGTTGCTTGAATGGGAAAGAGGGTGTTTCATAAAGTGTATCGACGCTGTCTATAATACGTTCTTTCCAGGTTACCACCCCCAACCCCCCCCCTAACATTCGAAACGCCGATTAAGGGGGTAGGCTCCAGAAAAAAACCAACTTCTTAATTAAAACCTTTTATTGATTCATTTGTGTATATCTAAGTTAGGGTACTTGAAGGAAAATATTTCCATGCATCAGGGAATATTTTGAAAAAATGGTTGCCATGGCAACGGCGGCCATCTTGAAAAAAACATCCTTTTCTGGAGTTCTAAAATTGCATAAACTAACATAAATATCGGCTATATAACCATTGATCCTTCTTGTACTAACGCTAATAGAGTCAGCTGGCTAGTTTTTGTAACAGAAATCACTCTAGAAATTTTTTTTTTTAATTTTCAAAATTTGGTGTGACGAAATTCCAATGAAAATAATGCTAAATTCAGTGGAATTTCACCACATATATTTTTGAAAATTTGAAAAAAAATATGTCTAGCTGTGTTTCGGTTACAAAAATTGGTCAGCTCACTCTATTGATGTTAGTACAATAAAGATCAATGATTATATGGGCGGTTTATATGTTACTTTAGGAAATTTTAGAACTCCACAAAAGGTAGTTTTTTCCAAGATGGCCGCCGTTTCCATGGCAACCATATTTTCAGAAGAGTCCCTGGTACATCCAAATATTTTTCCTTAAGTACCCTAACTTATACATACACAAATAAATGAAAAAGGCTTTTTAACTAAAAAGTTTTTTTCCCTGTTTTTTTCGGGAGCCTATCCCCTTAAACGTTTTATTCTACGGCAGTGGATCTTAACCTGGGTTCGATCAGACCCTAGGGGTTCGGTGAGCTAGTCTCAGGGGTTCGGCGGAGGTCAAGACACACACCCGACTCATATGATTCAAAATCAGATTTTGTCAATGCGGACGATAGAACAATGAAGAAGGGTTCGCTGGATGCGCATAAGAAACTGGTGGGGTTTGGTATCACCAAAAAATTGGGTTCACTGTGCCAAAATGTGTCCAGTACTAAAACCGCGACAGCTGCAGCTAAATTTCGTTTACAAAACCTCACATACAAGAAACCTTAGCAACAAAAACAGCCAAAAGCTTGTGTATCGACAAAAGGCATCTAGGTTTTTTTTTTATTCGACGTTTATACAGCACGGAAAATCTGATTTTTATAATACACTTTTAAATATTACCCTGTTCGTTATAAATCAATGACAATGTGAAAAATTATCATAGATAGTTGTTTAATAGCTTCAGCGAAAAAAAAAGAAAAAAAACCCCCACACATAAATAACAATAAATCACACGGCCCAATAACAGACGTATCCAGTTACTACAAGTTTTAAAAGTATTTTTTTTTATTCTTCGCGAGAAGATGGGAGATAACCCGCTTTAACAAATCTTGGGAGGAATGATATCACGGGAAAACCCGATTAGTAGAAATATCGCCGGTATGTTTTGTGTCATAGCTATTACATAAAACACACAGGCTGTCCTCCGTATTATATGTAGCTGCACTTGTGCATAAAGGCGTTTATTTGTGCAAACATTTTATTAATCCAACTATCAATTCATGTAAAAAAAAAGCATCGTTTTTATGGTAAATTTTATATTTGGTGTTACCAAAAACGTTTTTTTTTCGTACATTTTGCAGTTGGTGTCCCCCCCCCCCCCCTCCTCCCGTGATAGCTCTAAAGTG